AAGATAGTGGCAGCATACTCCAATGGAAAGTTTGCACTGGATCGAAAGAAGATGAGACTACCCGATGTAGATGCTGTGGACCAAGCTCTTCTGGTGTGGTTTAAGGAGGCAAGGAGAAAGTTGGTGCCAAAACCCCTGTTCATGGGAACTTGAGGCAAGGGAAACTACCCATGAATAAGTACAGCTGGATTAGTCCACATAAATGCTTACTCTCCTTGCATTTCTGATTTAACAGGGATCGGATATAACAGGATATTTTCTCTACTCCCACCATCCCTGTTATATCAGGTTTCCGCTGTATCGAAAATCGATCTGATGCTACGACTATAGATATACTATCCAATCAGGCGCTCCTTCTGTTGGGGAGAATGAAGTTTAATTGTTTTGATCATTCATTAAGCCGAGGCGGTTATGTTTCCACAGACTGAAAATCACTTGGCTATTGACCTTGTAGGCCTATGGTTCAAGGCCGAGATAAAGAAACTGATGGTCCTATTAGGCTCGGAGGCTGAAGTCACATCCATGTGCCTAATCATTGCTTGACCTATTGACACCAAGTTCGCACACCCTCGTGGGTTCTGAGCAAAGCGAAGACTGAGCCCCCCCCCCAAAAAACAAACAACAACAAACAAACAAACAAACAAACAATTTGAAAAAATCATAAACAAACAAACAAAAAAACCTCCTTTTTTCTGTAGCTCTCTGGGTTTTCTTTAACTAGGCCGTGTTCTTGGGATAGGGTTTTTTCATTGGGCTCAGACTCAGACTCAGACTTCGATAGACTGTGTGTACACTTGAAATACGAGTTGAATGAAGTTTTGGGCGGGTTAGCAACCAATAATATCTTGTGTACTGTGAACACTTGTGCTCTATGTGTAGAGATCGGACAAATGATAAAACAGACTTACGTGTAAGTGTATTCAATCATGGAATTGAGGTAGCTTTAATTTAGAATTTAATATGTTTTCTTCCTAATATGTAGTATCAATGAGTTGTGTAGAATACTGACTGGAAACTCGCTTTACTTTTTTGGTCACGTGAAGATATTTTCTTTAAAAAATTATAAGCTCACTGTCAAGAGACTGGGACCACACCAGCCTGCTGAATTTTCAACATACATGTAATAAAATCGAAGGGCATAAATCAAACACTACAAGTACGCAACGGTGAGTCCCTTTTTCTGGTTTCAAACGTGAGATTGCCACTAACAATTTCATAATACTATTTTCACATTGTCTTTTTAATATGTGTCTTTGACTGGCTTTTCTGTCCTTACACATCCATTGTAATCTGAAGGATCTCATGTTTGGTCATGGCAAGCCCCTCCACAGTCTTTACAACCCATCAGACGATATTGCAACAACCCCTTGGTGATTTAAAAAGATAGCACTTCTAGTATTCTTTACCCGATACCGACCACGCCATCTCTAAAATGGAAAGTGTGACAGAAATGTTGTTATAATGAAATTTATGTACCTGGAAGGACAAAGTAAACCTTGGCTCTGACTCGGATTCCTACCTCCAAAATTCGCTATACGCCAAGTGCGTAAAAAGATTGCGCCACTGTATCAGGCGACTTTAAAAAGGCGAGATATTCTTGACATTGGTGAGGGCGAGTAAAATTAAAGACAATATTAATGATGCTAGCCGAGAGCCACTTCCAGTACTACCACAAGCTCAGCCTTTAACACCACAAATTGAAGAACGAACAAATTGCAGCAAAATCAAAAACCACTTTTAACAAAAGCAGTGCCAGTAGTAGTAGGCTTATCGACAACATTGGTCGTAGTGACAACGGTCACAGCATCATCAACAGCGGCTTCTACATCAGCAATAAAAATAACAGCAATGTCAACAGGAAAAAACCCGGATTTCCTCTTTCATATTTGAGCCCTCTCGAAATCATTCTCAGTATATATTCCTGGTTCTGGCCCCAGCAGTTATTCCAGGCGATTTACCTAAGCCGGCTGGCTCCAGTCTGTTAGAATGTGGCAAGCAGCTGGCTCTGGTTGTGATTACATACATGGCTTAGCAGTTCTTAAACTGCTTCTAAGTTCTGGACTGTTTTGCAAGTCTCAACTGGCACATACAGTAACATTAACTGTGTTTTTTAAATAAAAGTCAGAATAATTTCAGTTTTGCTTTTTGTTTTGTTTTGTTTTCTTTCAATAACTTGTGTCCCCTTGACATCGCCAAAGCTGATGCAAAAACATGCAAGTGCATTTTTGCACACATACGCACTCAGGTGTGCCTCCCCTTTTCACATGTTCGTATACTTGTGTACTCTTACGCACCTACGCTAAAAGGTTTTGCACCCCTTAAAAAGACCGTTTATTTAGCAATACATCTATCCTAATACTCGCAACTAAATAAACATAAAAATAAATAAATAAATCGCATTTATACAGCGCATTTCCACAAAGAAGTGCTCAATGTGCTGTACAATAATACAAAGAACATATGCAGCGCACAGCTCCTGTAGTAATCCTCTTTCTCTCT